GAGGTTGTAGTTTTTATTTCAATAACTAGGAAAGACACTTTTGATGACTTTTAAAATATTAACATCATTTAGGTTAAACTGTATGGCCTAACTGCTAATAATAATGCAAATATAGCATACATTTATATTCTTTCCTAACTAAATAATTTTAATTAATTTTTTTAAAAAGCAATTCCAAGCCTGGCCGGTGTGGCTCAATGGATTGGATACCATCCCATGGACTGAGGCCTGGTTTGATTCCCAGTCAGGTCACATGCCCCGGTTGCAGTCTCCATGCCCAGCAGGGGGTGTGCAGGAGGCAGCTGTTCCATGTTTCATTTTCACATGGATGTTTCTATCTCTCCCTCCCTTCTCTAAAAAAATCAATGAAAACATAAATTAAAAAAAAAGAAAGAAAAGAAAGTGATTCCAAGAGAAAAACATAGTTGCTATTTATTTAGCACTTTAGATATAGCTCAAGGGGGCACTTATATCAGTATTGTATCTTTGGTGATCAAAATAAATGAATTAACTGAAATGCCAAGAGTATAAACAGTCAAAATCAGGCAGATCTGGTTCAAATTATATGGTGATGATCTTAAGCCTCTCATTTAGCCTCTTTGTATCTCAGTTTCCCCATCTCTAAAATAGGGATAATAGTTACCTTACATTCATTCATTTGACAAATATCTATTGAACTTGTTTGCCCAGAAAATGCTGGGTTATAGCTGTAAACAAGACAAGTCCCTGCTATTCCATAACTTATACTCTAGTAGGAGAGGTAAATAATAAACAAAAATACATAACTAATTCCATATATGTGGTAAATCCAATAAAGAAAATAAATCAGAGTAACAGGATGAAAAGTGACTGGAGGCAGAGAGAAGGAGTGTGGTCACTAGATCAGGGAAGTCTTCTTTCAGGAGGTAGTGATTTCAAGCTTAGGCCCAACTAATGAGCAGACAGACATGGGTAGATATAGAGGAGCAGTGTCTAGGCAATAAAAAGTTCTTGAGGCAGGAAAGAATTTAGCATTTTTTTAATGACCAGAAAAAAAGTCTATGGAGCTGGAGCATATTATTATATTCAGAGGATATTAGGATATTAGGAGAAGTAGGTAGGCAGGGTCCAGATCATGTAGGGATTTGTAGACATCATAAATAATTTAGATAGTATTCTAATTGCAATGGAAGACATAAACTGACTCTAAACTAGGAATAAACTGCATAATTTACATTTAAGAAAAGATCCCTCATAGTGCATAGGTTTGCAATGATCAATTATATTCCTTCACACCAGTAATAGATAGTTTAAAAATATAACTTAAAAGCAACAACAAAAAAGATAATAGGAATAAATCAAATAGTTTAAAGATCTTTATGGAAGTACACTATAAACATTTTTGGAAGATATAAAGTGGGACTAAATTAGGGAAGATATATCATGTTCATGAATGCAAAGCCTTGATATCATAAAGATGTCAATTTTCTCCAAATTATGTGATAAATTCAGTATAATTTCCCTGAATAATCGCAAGAGGATTTTTTTTTCCTTTATGGAGCTTGACAATCTGATCCTAAAATTTATATGGAAGAATGGGGGAAAAATAATTTGTTCTACTATATATCAACACATAATTATGACAGTTTGATACTGGGAGAGGGACAGAGAAATAAACCAGGAGAACAGAATGAAGAGCCCCACAATAGAAAACTTGATATATTACAAAAGTGGCATTACAGGTCAGTAGGGAAAGGATGGACAGTTAAGTAATTGCTGCTAAGGCATTTGGTTATCCCGATAAAAAACAAAATCAATCCAGATAATTTAAAGACAAAGCCATAAAAAACCTATACTTTAAAATATTTAGAAGAAAGTAAGGGGGAATAACTTTATCACCTCAAGGCAGGGAAGGATTTTTTTTAAGACACAAAAAGCTCAAACCTCAAAGAAAAAAATATATATTTATATTAATATTAAACATATATGAACATCAAAGACATCATAAAGTAAAAAGACAAAGGAAAATATATTTGCAAGCCAAAAAAATAAAGCAATGGTTACTTTCCTGGAAAATAGTAAAAAAAAACACAAAAGGCCTACAGATCAATAAAAGAAAGACAAATAACTGCATCAAAAAATGGGCAAAGGATATGGAGTTCAAATTCACAGAAAAGGAAAAATGAAAGGCCAAAAAAATCATGAAATTATATTTACTTTCATGAGTAATACACAAACAGGAATGGCAAAATCCAAAAAGTATCCAAGTATTAGGGAGGCACTGGAAAGGCCAAAAAAATCATGAAATTATATTTACTTTCATGAGTAATACACAAACAGGAATGGCAAAATCCAAAAAGTATCCAAGTATTAGGGAGGCACTGGAGTAGCAGGCATATTCTTATACTGCTGATTGGAGTATACATTGTTACAATCATTTTGAAGAGCAATTTATTTTTAGTTGCTGGCAATAATATTGAAATATAAATGTATTTATTGAAATGATCCTCTAATTCCTAGGTATATTACTTCAGGGAAAGTTTTGCATGTGTGTATAAGGAGACATAGAAATATTCATGGCATCATGGGATCTTGGAGATGAAAAACTGGAAGTGAACAAATGTCCATTAATAGGATAATGGATACATAAATTATAAGTATACCCATACAATAGAATATGGCAGTAAAATGAATGACATGCAGCTGGAGCTATTAATGAGGATGAATCTCATAAACAGAATATTGAGCAAAAAATTGCAGAAAGAAATGTACAGTGAAATAAAATTTATGTAAAACTACATATTGTTATGGCTATATATGTAGATATAATAAAAATACATGTCATGGGAATGATAAACACGAAAATCATGATAGTTTTACCCCCAGGGAGTAGAAGGTGAATGGTGTTAAGGAGGGACATGGAGGAGACTTCAGTTATAAGACTACATATTTTATAAGCTAGGTGTTGGGTACATGATTATCTATTTTATTTACTATGTTCTTTTGTAAACAAAATATTTTATAACAATTTTAAAAGGAGAAAAGTAATTCTAGCTTATAAACCGAAGAATGAACTACCAAGGGGGTAAGAATGGAAGCAAGGAGACACCATGGGAGAGCACTGCAGTACTCCTGAAGAGTGAAACTGAGTATTTAGCACAGTTTCTGGCATAGTAGGTGTCTAACAAATTGTAGCTACTGTTGTGGTGGTTGCTATCATCATCATCAGGGTCAAGACCAAAGACATAGGGGGACTGTGAAGAAAGAAAAACAAAATGTTTCAAGTAGCTATGCTGTACTAGGTGCTTTATTTATCTATTAGTTACGACTAGAATCTAGTTATAAAGAATCCGGGGTTCACAGAAGCCAAAGCCAAAAGGCACAAGGCTACATAAATTTCTAATGACTCATTTTCCAATGTTGCCTAAAACATATTCTCTCCCGCCAATATACACACCCTTTCCCAGTTTAGCACTTGAAAAAAAAATTCAAGCATCTTTTCTCGTTGGTTCTAAGTAGCATATTTTGAGTTAAATTTAATAGCTGGATACACCAAACACTTGGATAGTGCCTTATTACTTATTACAGAATACCTTTGGATCTCTCTCAATTTTTCACTTGATCCTTCTAACAACTCTGAGGAAAGCTGTGCAAGTTAATCATTTCTGTTTTACAGATGAGTAAACTAAACTCCAAAGAGGCTAAACCAGAGGTTCTTAACCAACCTGTGTGACCATGAACTTCATGAAGTCCTATGATAAACAGTTTATGATTGAATGGGCATTTTTCTAGTCAGCAGGTTAACTTTCATTGTATTGTCAAAGGAGTTCATGACTCCCCCAAAAGGTTTAAGAAACAGTGTTAAAGGATTTGCCTCAAGTAACAGGTCACAGGGTCCTGGTGAGCAGACCCCAAGGAATTTCTTCCTCACATTCAATTCTTTTCACTACAATTTACAGCATCAAAAGTCCAATTAGAGGTATTATTGGTGGAATACCTTTCATAGTGTTTACTGACTGTTTAAGGAGCAAACGTTATTAACTATACTGCAACATCTTACCTGGGAGTTTGTTCAGCTGTTGGGCAAGTCACTGTAATCTACGTGGTGTTACTTTTCAAACGAACAAGTTAAGAGCTGTTATCTTACAACAAGCCCTAGCGGACTTGCTAAGAAAGGAATGTGATAGGTAACGCATTTTATTTACATTGCGAGTAATCTATAAAGAATAATCATGAGACACGGTTTGATCTAGAGGCGGGAAGCAGGCCATGCGCTGAGAGCGGGATTTCCATTTCTCCTGGACCGGTTGGTTACCTAACGTCTCAGGGTCTCCTTTCTCCCAGAGGTAAAAGGAAGGATTCAAGTGGATCGCTTCTCAGAACCCTTCCAGATCTACCATTGTTGCAGTTGGGCAGGATTTAAAATAGGAAGCGCAACAGGAGTTTTGGGTAACACTCTTTACTAAGTCTAATTAATGTTAGCCTCATTTTCACAATGAGAAGGGCCTCCAGAGTCCAAGGTGGGTTCCCGCTCATTAGCCCCATGTGTCCAGGGGACCCACTAGACCTGCCCTTTAAGAAGGTCAAGCCTGCAGTGCCCCTTGGGGTGACGTAAGGGTGGGCGGAGAGAATGCCGTGGAAGGCCCAAAGGTCGGGGGGACTTCACCCGAAACAGGGGCTCTCAATCCTATACTTAAGAATGCAGGAAGGCAGAACGCCCAAACCCGACCGGGGCGAAGGGACCGGCTTACACCGGGTGGGGTGTGCGAGCGTTGAGGGTGGGGCTTCGGGCCCCGAGGCAGTTTATGTGCCGGGAGCACCACACCCCCGCCAGCGCCGGCCGCCCAGGCTACAGGAGGAGGTTGAGCTAAAGCTGCCGGGCCGCCCTGGGAACCTGCGGGCCCGGCGAGGCCACGTGACCCAGCGCCGGGGGCGGACCCAGCGCCGGGGGCGGGCCCCGGCCCGCACGCATGCGCGCGGCTCCCGGCGCTGAAATTCAAATTTGAACGGCAGCCGGAGTCCAAGCCTGACACTGGAGGCTGCGGTGGCGAGGACAGCCGGTTGGGAAGACTTTCCCTGCCCCGGACTCCTTGTTTTTTTTCCCTCCAAGTGACACACTGAACCGGGACTCACTTCTTTCCATTTTCTGAATTTGAACCACCGTCTCCATTGTCTCGCAATCGACACGCGAAGCCTGGGGCGATGGACCCGTTTACGGAGGTGAGAAAACTTGCGGGCACAGCCCGGCATGACCTTTCTCGGCCCCGACCCTCCCTTCCCACCTTCTGTCAACCTCTGGGACCACCGGGCGGAGGGCGCGTGCGCGCGCGTGCGCAGAGTGGGCGTGCGGGGTCCCGCGGGGGCCGCCGGGAGGGGGCTGTGGCGCCGCAGCCCTGCGGCTCGTCCGCGGTTTCCTGCGGGGGGCTCTCTGGCAGGCCGCTTTCCAGAGTGTCCCAGAGGTAGTGAGGAACATCAGGTCCTTATGGTAACGCCCTGCGGAGCCCAGACCCGCAGAGCGAGGGTGGGGTGTGACGGTCCTGCTCCCCCGGGAGTGGAAGCGGGACAGCCCGTCGGGTGGAGTCGGGTGCCCTGTGACTCACCGTGGTGTGTGCAACCGCCGCCTGGACGGGGGCGGGAAGGGGCGTGCGGGGCTCGTGCGGCCCGCGGAGGGGCTGTGCGTGCATCTAAGGACGCTGCTCACGGAGCGACCGGCGACGCGTTAAAATAAACCGGTGCCGGAGACCGTCGCATCCCTTCCCGCAGTCATGGGTTCCTTCCAGTCGCCCTGCCCAGAACCGGGGTGAAGTTTCGTCCCCGGTGGACCCGTAAACTGAAAGGAGACGTGCTAGCCGAGTTATGTGCACACCAAAGTCATTAGCCCACGATGTAAAAAAAAAAACATGAAGAAAGAAACTTTGGTGTGTGTGTGGCTAACAACACAGCAACTTTTAACGCCTCTTTCGTTCTTTGGAAATTGAATACGGAGTAATTACATTCTTGTGTGGTTATTTCAGTAGCTTTGACTTCTGGTTGAGGATGTACAGTTCAGGGGTTTCGTGTGGCCTGTTGTCCACTCCCTCTTCTTCCTCTTTCTTTAGGTTGTGCAAGTTTTGAACTGTTATTTTTTTGAATTTTTGCAAAGTGGACCTAAAAATATTTAAAAAAAACTCAAGTGCTGTGGAGAGTAGTCATACTGTTTTATTGTTTTGAAATGTAGTTACAGTTCCAGAAGTGTAAGATATTTAAAAGTTTCAACAATTAGAGATTACTTGTTTTCAAACAACAGTATTTACTTTTGTTTCACATCATCTTGGGAGAAAATACATCAATTGGTTTACCTTACTTTTAAAAACTCTAACAAAAATCCAGGATTAGCTTTAAAGAATCGGGCTGGTCGTACACCATATTTTTCACTTATGTTGAAGTTAAAAGGGATATATGTGTATATATATTTTTTCATCCTCACTCGAGGATATTTTTACAATAATGTTCAGATAGAGCTGGAGGGAGAGAAGGAGGAAAAGAGAGAGAGAGAGAAACATTTATGTGAGAGCGACACATTGATTGGTTGCCACCCGCACAAGCCCAACCTGGGTGGGGACAAACCACAACCGAGGTACGTGCTGGCCGAAATCGAACCCAGGACTCTCTGGTCCTTGGGCGACACTCTTACTGCTGAGCCATACCGGCCAGGGCGAAAGGGATATATATATATTTTTTTATCCTCACCTGAGGACATTTTTCCATTTTTCTTTTTGTTCAGGTAGAGTGGGAGGGAGAGAGAGGAACAGAGAGAGAGAAACATCGACGTGAAAGGGACACATCGAGTGGCTGCCACCCGCACGACCAACCAGGGCCGGGGACAAACTGCAACCAAAGTACATGCCCTTAGCGGGAACCGAACCCGGGTCTCTCCAGACCGCAGGCCGATGCTCTAACCGCTGAGCCAGACAGGCCAGGGCCAAAAGGGATATTTTTTAAAGTTACTAACAGATTAGGATTTCTTAAAACAGTCCTGTGTGTTCTGAATATATATATATTTATTATTCTCCTACGTAACAGGAACAAAGCATTTTGAAAGTTGGCTGAAAACTATACTTCATTTTACTTAAAAATGTCATTAGGAAGCAGTACAAATCTCAGTTGAAAGAAACTTTGTTTGAAAGAAACCTTTCATTTTCTATGTGTTGACTCAGAACTATGTGTTGTTTAATATGTATGGTTTGTATTATGAAAAGATAGGTTTGTTGCAGTTGGAATAAAAGGCTGTGACATCTTTTCCTTAATTGGTGGTGAGTGAACTATTTGAATGGGTTCCAACCATTAATTATAGCATTCATAACATTTTTGCACAGTGAAATGAACTGGCACAGTTCCTTGTCTGAAAAGGACTGGAAGTCAGTTAAAACGACTTTCTCAACCAGTGTTTCTTACCAGAACCATAGAACACAGGAGATTGAGAGACAACTTTCTCAGTTTTCCCATGCCATGCTACAAGCATAGCAGAGATTTTAATTCGTTACATTGATGTCAGGGAAGCAGGGCTGAATGCTCCAGGTAACTCTGGTTGAGAAGGGCTACAGCCATCCCGCATTCCGTTTCCCGGGTTCTCCCTGTTGTCACTGGTGCTCTCTGGCACAGCCTTCTCCCCGCCTCTTCTGCCTGCAGACTCTGAGTTAACCTCTTGTAACACTTTGCTCTCCCTTGTTCAGAGGAGAGGGCACCTTTCACAGTGCTCAGCTCACTTGCGTTTACCCCTTAAGCATGCTTCCGGCTGGAATGTGAGCTTCATAAAGGTAGACCTGTTCTTTCTATTCAGAGAGAGGTTTCCCTAACCCCAAGCACACCCAGTGACACTCTACTAAGTTAATATAAGGAGAGAGCCATTCAGTACAAATTATACAATCAAGTATTACATACAACAGTAGCTGTTACAACATTTTAGCAAAGTTTTTGTTTTGTTTTGTTAATCCTCACCCAAGGATATTTTCCCATTGATTTTTAGATAGAGTGGAAGGGAGGAAGGGAGGGGGGAGAGAGAGAAACATTGATGTGAGAGAGACACATCAGTCGGTTGCATCCTGAATGACCTGACTAGGGCTGGCAATCAAACCTACAACCCAGTTACATGCTCTTGACTGGGAATCGAACCTGAGACCCTTTGGTCCTTGGGCCGACACTGTAACTGCTGAGCCAAACTGGCCAGGGCAGCAATGTTTTTTTTCATTGTAGAACATTTCAAATTGCACAAGTATAATAACTGCTCATGCATCCATCACCCAGTAACCCAAGTTTCACTGTATCCCCCCTCTAGTCCCACTGAATTATTTGAAAGCAAATCCTAGAGATCATATAATTTCATACGTAAGTATTTCAGTGTTTATCACTAAATGCTAAGCATTTTTATTTATTTTAAATCCTCACCTTAGGATACTTTTCCATTCATCTTCAGATAGAGAGGGAGTGGGGGGGGGGGAGAGAGTGCGAGCGCAAGCGAGCAAGTGAGAGAGAAAAGAAGGAAGGAAGAAAGATGTGAGAGACACATCAGTTGTTTGCCCAACAAGGGCCAGGGACGAACCCCAACTGAGGTACATGCCCTTGACCAGAATCGAACCTGAGAGTCTTTGGTCTAGGCTGACGTTCTAACTGCTGAGCCAAATCGGCCAGGGCGTGTGCTAAGCACTTTAAGAAAAAAACATTAGCATGTCGTTATCACACCTAAATAACAACAGCTCCTTAATATCAAGTATTCTGTCAATGTTCTGATTTCCCTAAGTGTCTCATGCTTTTGCCATTTGGTTGAATCAGTATCTAAACAGGGTCTTTCTAAAGTTTTCTGTGGACGGACTGGAAATAAAGACTCCATCTTGATTCGTGGATGCACATGTAGTTTAAGCAGATGTTTATTATTATACTCTGATAAGAGCTGATAGCATTTAAAAAGTTATGTTGATATGAAGTTAGTTCTCTGACAATAAGTTCTTAAAAAGAGTAATTGGATTTTGTCAAAAGACAGTTAATGGCAGCGTTTAAGAGCCCAGACTCAAGAGCCTGTGTTTGACCTCGGCCTCCCCTGTTCTTAGCTATGCGACCTGTGGCTTGTTATTTAACCTGGGCCTGATTTCTTTCTTCATCTGTAAAACACTAGTGAAAGCAGAACCTACCAAATAAGGTTTTTTTAGGCTTTGAAAATGGGATGAGTTAATGTGTGCAAACAGTGAAAGTACTTTATATTAAATCTTACATAAGTGTTAGTGATTATTGTACTATTCGGTGAATTTAGACGTAAACCTATTACTCATAACGTTGGTGTTAGCCTCTTGGTTTGAAGATCCGCTCCCAGCCTGAGACCAGCAGTAGGGAAATCCAGGGCCAGACAGGCCAAGTCAGGACTTTGTGTAGGAACCAAAAGAGGAAAGGCTACAATGAACGAACATACTTTGTAAAGCATCTTTTTTGTGTGTGTGATAAAAATAAACAAACATGTTGTTACTGTTTTGAATGTAATTCTCTTATTTTCCAGAATTAAGTGAAAATCTCTGTATTGACTAGAAGAGAATGCTGCTGGAGTACACTGACAATAATCAGTTAATTTATACTGAATCTGCTCTGTTTAGGAGCAGAGAAGTCAGTAATCCGTCCTAGAAAGATTTCTGTCAGAAGTGATTCCAGGTTTGTGGCAGAAATTGCTCAGGGACTATAAACCTCACTTAGCTTAGATTCATTCATTTGGAGTAACTTTCCCATCCTGTTAGTTATTGCAGTGTTTTATTTTGTTACTCCTACTATCTGAAGGAATGTGCATTATAAACACACCCTTAAATTCCTGATACACCTTTATAAGAAAGGGTGAGTTAAATTTATTGAGCTGTTTATATGCATATATCATTCCTTTTAAATTAATAACTTTGGTATTTACTAGTTTTTATTTTACAGATTAGGGAATTTTTTTTGCTTATCTATTTTTAATCTTGAAATTTTGAGATCTAAAGTGCACAACAGAACAGTTGTGTAAGTTTGAATGGCATAACCGCATTCTTTTGTTGTGACCCATTGCTCATGGTAACTGAAGATACACTGACTCACCAGTATTCTAACAGACTGGAATGGAATGTGGGCATGTCCATGAATGAATATAATTAGGCTAGTTCTGTCTGGGGACTGATAATATTTTATTGTGGGGGAAATGATCAGACATAAATTTGTGTAATAGTGTCACTTTTGAGTTTGCAGGAGACTTTTATTTAAAGGGGGAAGATTTTATGTTTTGGAAGGCACTTGGTTCATAAATCTCCCTTTCAGTGACAGAGCATTTAGACTTAGTGTCACTTATTCTAATGAACTTTAAAAAATATATGTTTTTACTGGTTTTAAAGAGAGTGGAAAGGAGAGGGAGAGAAACATAGATCAGCTGCCTCCTGCATACACCTAATGGGGATAAAGCCCACAATCTGGGCATGTGCCCTGGATGGGAATCAAACTTGTGACCTCTTGGTGCACTGGATGACTTCCAACCTAGTGAGCCACACCAGCCAGGGCTCAATGAACTTGAAGTTAAAAATCATCCTAAGGAGAGGAGAGGAGTTGAGCTTTCTTTCCAGTTTAGCTCATGCTTCTTTTGCATACTCAGAGGAATTGAAAACAATTGTTATTCTGTTTTATTAAGGTCTTGAAAGGTCAGATGGAGTTTAATTTCCATGTCTGCTAAGTGTACTGTGTCTGTGTTTGCAGGGCAGTCTATAAACTCCAGCCAGTGATCTGCACCTCTCCTTTAGTTGCGTGTATTTGGAAGAGAACGAATTGTTTGACAGGCCTTGTGTTTGTTTTACCACCGATTCCCATAGGAACTTCAGTGTTCAGGGCAAGAAAGGAGTACTCCTAATTTTATGGAATGGCTCAGATTTCAACTTAAAACTTTTATATTGATATTTAATTAAATAACACATTAAGATAGTTTAGGTTTTTTTCTCTTAGGAAGTGTCTTATGTTTACAAAGGACTAATATGTCAGTTACCTCTTGCTGTTCACCACCACCCCCAATCTTAGTGGCTGTATTAGTCTTGCTGCCGTAACAAATTACCACAAACTTGGAGGCTTAAAATCACACATATTATCTTCTGTAGGTCAGAAGTCTGATGAGTTCTACTGAGTTAAAATCGGGGTGTCAGCAGGATTGTGTTCCTTCTGGAGGCTCTAGGAGAGAATTTATTTCCCCTCCTTTTCCAGCTTCTAGAGGCCACCTGCACTTTTGGGCTCATGTTTCCTTTGTCCATCGTCACAGCCAGCAGTCACGTCCTCTGTCCTCTGCGTCTGTTGTCACCCTCCCTCTCACCCTCACTTTCCTGCCTCTTTTCTTCCTTTCTAAGGGCCACTGTGATTATGTTGGTCTTGATCATTCACAATGACCTCTCCATCTCAAGGTTCTTTTTTTAAAATTAATCCTCACCCAAGGGTATTTTTTATTTGTTCTATTGATTTTTAGAGAGAGTGAAAGGGGTGGGGAAGAGAGAGAGACATATCGATGTGAGTGAGAAGTGAGACACACTGATTGGTTGCCTCCCGCACGTGCCCAGATAAGGACTGGGGATTGAACCTGCAACTCACGTATGTGCCCTTGACTGGGAATTGAACCATTTACCCTTCAGTGTGCTGGTTGATATTCTGAGCTATATTCTTGTTTTTTTTTTTAAATCCTCACCTGAGGATATTTTTCCATTAATTTTTTTAGAAACTGCTTGAACGAACCCGTGCCCGGCGAGAAAATCTTCAGAGAAAGATGGCCGAGAGGCCCACAGCAGCACCAAGGTCTGTGTCTCTTGCCAAGCGAGCCAGAGAGCCGCTTGCAGAAGCGAGTAACCAGCAACCCCTGTCTGGTGATGAAGGTAAGACTGTGAGGTCCTTAAAGAGAAGCCCCAAACAGCTCATGGTGTGTGCAGAGGAATCAGAGCCTTTGGGAGACAGGCGTAACAGCCTCTGAGGGGGAAGGTCAGCCTTCTCTCTCTATTTCAGGGTTATTTTTTATCTTAGGTCTAGAACCTACTGGGCCATAGCAGAGTTTCTTATAACAAACAGTTCAGATTATTTGGCTAAATTTTATTTTCCCCAATCCAAAATTATTCTTAAAACTTTCAAAGGAAGAAAAATAAAGGAGCAGGGGAACACTTAACCTGTCGTATTCTTTCCTAAATCCTGGCCTCCCCAGCCAGCTGCCTTAGTCTTTTTCTAGAGTGTGGAATAGTCTGGGGATGACCCTTAGTATAACTTTAAAATACAGGTAGAAAAAGAGTATCACAGAGATGAGGGCTTGGGGCTGGCTTACAGTTTATTTTAGAAACGAACATAGAATGATCATTTATTTTTGTATATTTATTTTGAAAGAAGGGAGGGGAATACGTTACATATACACGTACTGTATATAGAGCATTCAGCCAGAAAGAATACGTTACATATACACGTACTGTATATAGAGCATTTAGCCAGAAAAAGAGAGGCCTGGCCCCAGTGCAGGGATTCCTGCTTCCACTGTGATGTGGGTTTACACAGTCACATAGTGAGTGCTGTGTGCTTGGAAGCCAGTGGCTGGAGACACAGTTAATGTTTAAATGGAGGCATTTGCTGTTGTACATAAGAACTGTAAACTTGAAGAATTCTCTATTTCCAGATGGTATTGCATGTTAAAATAGAAACACTTTCAAAAGTGATTAGATAAGTTAATGGAAAATAAATAAATTATAGAAGATTACAGAATTTCATGATGTATATTTAATTTGATGGATGTTGATCAGGGCAATCATATCCTCTCACTAATACAACTTTGGTCACTGCTAGAATAAGAATACTTGATTAGACAACCGATGAAAGTGACCTCTCATGAAATTTGCATTCTGACTTTTTAAAAATATTAATTTTTTAGGAGATATATTAAAACTTATTCCTGGGTTGAAATAACATGCTTTATGTTTGGGTCACTTCTTTTTATTTTAGGACTTTAACATTTATTTTATAGGAGTTCATGGATGTTTAAAACGTGAAATGTTGGCCTGGCCAGTGTGGCTTAGTTGGTAGGGCATCGTCCTGTGCATGGAAAGGTTGCTGGCTCGCTCCCCAGTAGGGGGCGTGCAGGAGGCAGCCAATGGATGTGTCACTCTCACATCAATGTTTCTCTCTCTCTCCTCTTCTCCCTTCCTCGTTCTAAAATCCAATAAAAATATTTTTAAAAAATGTGAAATGTTGTTAAACACATCTGATGAATTTGTTTGGTATTGGCTAACTAATTCAGTCACTTTTTTTGATTCCTTGTCTCTTTCCTAAACCTCAAGCCAGGTGTCCTTCTACCTTTGCTTATCATTGTCTATGAAAGATTGTTTTAAAAATAAAAAGTCTGCTTTCTCCCCTTAGCTCAGCTGTGTCATGTTAGGCAGGTAGCTAAACTTCTCCAGGCTTGATTTTTCTTATCTGTACATGAGGTGACCAGGCTGTGTGATATTTAACAGTCCCTGGAACATTTGTTTATTCTGTGTGTGCACTTTAACTTCCTGCTGTCTTAAGCTGTATAAAGTACAGTGATACCTCGGTTCTCGAACATAATTCGTTCCAGGAGGACGGTCGAGAACCAAATTGTTCGAGAACCGAAGCAATGAAACCAATAGGAAATAATAGAAACTGGATTAATTCGTTCCAAGCCCCAGAAAATGCCTATTTACTGGCCTAATTTGTATATAATATGTAGAAAAACATAAGTCTCAACAAGAAATAAAAGTGTACAGTATGTCTAAGGGTTAAATTCAGTGTAAAGCGTGACTCTCTCCACAAAGCGTGACTCTCTCTCTGCACTCACACTGATGACGCCAGCAAGGCGCGCTGGGCCGAATGAACGCCATTCGGCTCAACTCGGCTCATCTCGGAAGTTCGAGTTCCAAATATTTGTTCGGATTCCAAGACAAAAGTTTCTCGAATCTCCTGGTCGAATACCGATTTGGTCGAGAACCGAGGCGTTCGAGAACCGAGGTATCACTGTATTATGCATGTATCTTGAGAATGTTACTTGAGGTTTTTTTTTTGGTAAATCCTCACTTGAAGATAAATTTCCATTAATTTTTTTTTTTTTTTTTGATAGTGGAAGGGAGGAAGGGAGGGAGAGAGAGAAACATCGATGTGAGAGAGACACGTCAATTGATTGCTTCCTGCACGACCTCAACCAGGGCCAGGGATCAAACTTGCAACCCAGGTATGTGCCGCTGACTAGGAATCAAACCTGCGATCATTTGACCTGCAGGCCAACACTCTAAACACTGAGCTAAACCGGCCAGGGCTGTTACATGAATTTTCACTCAGGTTTTCTAAATCATCAATTACAATTTTTTAAAAGAAATGTCTCATCAAATTTCTAAGTTATTGAAAGAAAGTAGAATTTTACATATTTCTTGTAAGTAAATCATTTACAGGATTAGAGAAGCACGATGTTTTGTTAATTTGTTAAGCACTTATGGCAAATTGTTTGTGCTGTGAGAAGATATGGAATTTTAAGTTTTTTCCCTTTTCTAATCTAGAGAAATCTTGTACAAAACCATCGCCATCCAAAAAACGCTGTTCTGACAACACTGAAGTAGAAGCTTCCAACTTGGAAAATGAACAACCGGTTGAGTCAGTTTCTGCCAAACCTTGTTCTCCGAGTCCTGTGTCCCCTCAGGCGCAGCCACAGGCGCCAGCTCCGGCCAGTGATTCCCTGCCTGCCCACCGGGCATCGCGGCTGGGCCCGCCGAAAGCACTGAACTCAGGCTCGGAAGCGACTGCAGCCTCCTCTGTGAAAACACGCATGCAAAGGCTGGCAGCCCAGCGGCGCCACTGGGATGACGACGATGTGACAGGTACACATGACGGGCGCTGTGGCCCTCAGATCTGTGCCAGCACGATGCTGGAAGCTGTATTTATCAGGTAGCACATGAAGGACGTGCTCTTGCTTTATTTATATCCTAGAATTGTCATTTGCACATGGTTTGTATATCGGCAGCATAGTTATCAGGTGGTGGTTCTCACTGAAGTAGATAATGATGAGGTTCTTATACTCTTGGCATTATTAGCATTGCTGACCTTCAGCTCTGTGTTCACGAAATCCTGTGTCACGGGTTGGTTGGTTAAGTAAACTTGAGTGGTATGCAGTGCTGTTGAATTGGGAAGAGAGAAAACTTCACAAAGACATTTATCGAGCACCGACAAAGATGTTCACAGGCTAAGGTTCTGGAAGCAGATGGAGCGAGCCGATCTTTGCCTTTCCTGGGCCCATCATCAGGTGGAGAGCTGAGAGCAGGTCAGGAGTCACGTGGCAGGTTCTGTGCTAAATTTGATTTGCCTCCTACCTTGTTATGAAAATAGCATTGAGATGACTTTTTAAAAAAAAACTATGCTACAGAACAAGCAAATGCAGGAGATCAGGGTGAAGAGAAGGAAAAACAAAGTGAAGGGTGAAGTTAATCTATATACAGGCATGAAGGTCCTCACTTGCTAGAGGGGGTTCTCAATTTGCTAGTAGCCGATGGAAGGAGGGGAAACACTATCAGCTGCATGACTAACGTTTGTAAGATAAAAGCACAACCATCACTGGCACCGAGACCCAAGAGAATTTTCTTCCCTGTGCCCTCAAAGATGGCCTTGTGTAGGCTGGTTACTCACCGGGGGGGCAGATGGCCCAGCTCCAACCCGACGCCAGTGACAGCAGTTCCAAAATGAGCCAGCAGAGTACAGGGGGACAGCTCAGTGGCTACTGGGACTTCCCTAAGGAGCACCCTCAGCTGGGCTTTCAGAGCCCAGCTGCTGTGAGTCAGTGTCCAGACCACAGGGTTGGACTCTCAGGGCTGCGTGCACCCTGGAGAGTGCTTTTGCCTCTCAGCTGCAGGTAATTCTGATGCGTAGCCAGAACCGAGACCAGTGATCCGAAGAAACGGATGGACTCCGTATACTCTGGACAGTCTTCCATAAATATTAGTTCTTTTGTTTTTATCCTCACCGAGAACATTTTTGCATTTATCTTCAGATACAATGGGAGGGAGAGAGAAACATCGATGTGAGAGACACACATTGAGTGGTTGCCACCCACATGACCCCAACTGGAGTCGGGGACAAACTGCAACCGAGGTACGCGCCCCCAGCGGGAACCGAACCTGGGTCTCTCCGGTCCACAGGCTGATGCTCTAACCACTGAGCAAAACTGGCCAGGGCAATATCAATTCTTTTAATAGATATTTTGATAAGTATTAGACAACAAATCATTTAGGATTGTCCTTTGTGGCAGTGATGATAAGCTCAAGAGCAAACACTGTGTAAAGTGTTGGGTAATCTAAATATCTTCTTGTTCTAATACAATGTAACATTTAATTCTTATAACAGTCTATGAGATACATATCATTTTTATCTCGTGTTATGAAGAGGAAACTGGATTCACAGATGCTAAGAAAGCTGCCCATGGTCAACAGCTAAGATTCAAACCCCTGTAGTTTGACTCTCAGGCTCACGTCTTGCCTGCTGTTACCTGCCTGATGTTTTTGGGGCATGTGACAGGGTGTGGCTATTCCGGGTTGTCAGTCATATCTTTTTATTTTAGCAGTGGGCAGGACTAACCGTGCTTATGTCCCTGAATGAAGGCTGTCCCCTTTCTGTTTTGTAGAAAGTATCTATGGGCAGCAGAATGCAGATTTCCTTTAAATTAAAAAAAAAAGACAGAGGCAGCTTGTGATTTAATGTGTGGCCAAAAGAACAAGCAAGGCCCTCCACGTCAGCGCACAAAGCACTTGCAGCACGACTTTGAGCATTCTGAAAGCCACGTTAACAAATGTGAGCCTGGCCTTAAAGAGAAATCTCGTGAGGCACTATAGCCTGTCTAATTTTAAGTATTGAAACCTAGGACAAAAGTCTTTGTAATGAATGGTTTAGTGAACAGGACTAAACAGGACTAGTAGGTATAAGCCAGTTAAATGTTTGAGGACTTACCATTTTTCTGAAGGCTTTCTTTCTCACAGTTGAGACCAGAAGAGCCAGAGGTCTCTTAAACCCATTCCTAAAACAGGATAATAAAACTGGCATCTGCTTAGAGGACTGGCATCTGCTAAGGAAAATGACAGAGATGCACAGTGGTGGTCAGGGAAGATTTCTGGAGGAGGCAGGGGCGATGAAGCTGGGCTTTGAGGAGCTGCCAGCTTCAGACAGTGGAGATGCTCTAGGGCAGAAGCAACAGAATGTGAAAAGCACGAATTACATGAACACGGTGCAGGTATAAAGTCGGTATTCTGGTGTACAGTGCACATGGTAGAAAAGGAGAGACATTTGAAGAAAGCAGCAGGGTTCAGAGCCGGTGGGATTTACCAGGAGGTAATGGGGAGGTCCAGGCAGAGTTTAACCTGCCGGTGTTGAGAAAGCTCACTCTGGCATCAGAATCGAGGAGGGGTTGACCAGTCAAGAGATGGGAAGCAGAAAGGCCCGTTAGGAGGCTAGTGTTGTAATCCAGACACGCAGTGGTGAAGGCCTGTGAAGAAGAGAGGCTCAGTGTGGGAGATTTAGGAGAAGGAGTCTGTAGGACTTGGTGACCGGATGGCGGAGGAGAAGGGGGGAAGGAGGAAGAGGTCATGATGGTGCGGTGCCTGGGGTTTAGCCAAAAGGAGGTCGTTGGTAGTTAGAAGGAAACGGAGAGAGAGGCCACAAAGACAGAACTAGTGGAGGATGATGTCATACACGGAAATACAAGGCCTGCAAAGTGTGTCCTAGCGTCTAGTGACAAAGTGGTGAGCTGAGTGGTGAGTGGACACTGCAGGCAAAGAGGGGGTGTATGTTGATGGGAGGATGGTCATTTCTAGTTTTAAGATTTGAGCATATTTATGTGCAGAGAAGAACATTTGTACAGTGGAACAAGGGGTTATTTGGAGCAAGGTCCCTGAGAAGTTTTGGAGAAGCAGAATCGAAACTTCAGGCAGAGGTAGAAGCCTTGGACATAGGGGATGCTCTTCCATTAGGCTGAGTCTGCGGAAGAGAAAGTGTCATGACCTTTGACTTCCCTGTGAATATATACAGTGTTCATGCAGACAGGCCTGAATCCTTCATATGTTAAGTATTACTTGTTTGAGGTTTATCTCCAGATGAAGTAACTGTGGAAAACCTTTTTGGCCTAACCCTGTGGGATTCAGTTCTGTAGCCACTAGCCATATGTAGTTTTTATTTTTATTTATTTATTTATTTATTTTTTATCCTCACCCGAGGACACTTTTCCATTTTTTGTGCAGATAGAGTGGAAGGGAGAGAGAGGAAGAGAGAGAGAGAGAGAAACATCGATGTGAAGGGACACATCGAGTGGCTGCCACCCGCACGACCAACCAGGGCCGGGGACAAACTGCAACCGAGGTACATGCCCTTAGCGGGAACCGAACCCGGGTCTCTCTGTACCGCAGGCTGACGCTCTAACCGCTGAGCCAAACCGGCCAGGGCCATATGTAGTTTTTAAAATTTGAGTTAATGAAAATGAAATGAAATCAAACTTCTTGGTGGCCCTAGCCACATGTGACTGGTGGTCACCGTATTGGACGGTGCAGGTAGGACATCTCCAACATCACAGGAAGGTCTGTGCTACAGCAATGGTCGACTTTAATTTTATAACAAAAAGTTCCTGTGGAATACATAATCTTAAATTACGTAATGTTATAACACAATGAATTCTAAAAATATAACCTAAATGTATGGCATCTTACATCATTCATTATCCACAAAGGATTGAGGAAAACAAATAAGCGTAAGAAAGTTTTGTTTTTCTTTCTTAATTTGAATTATCATCTGATTTGAAAAGACACTGTCAGATTTAAGCAGCTTGGTACTCATGCATTCAAGAGCTTTTGACTAGTTCTTAAACCTGTTAACCTCATCTAAAAATTCTGAATGGAGTGGTCCTGGTATTTACACATACATGTATCTCTTGAGCATGGCTGTTCATTCTTTTTTCGGAAAACATTTCAGATGATACCCCTGAAAATCCACTGGTCTCAGCAGTGCCAGTAGAAGACAAGGCTGCCGCCCTTCCCAAACCAGCAGAAGCCTCCGCAACTCCAGTTGGGAGAAGGGGTCGTCTGGCCAACCTCGCTGCAACTATTTGCTCCTGGGAAGATGATGTCAGTCACTCATCTGCAAAGCAGAACAGGGCACCAGAACAGCCTGGTACCACTTGTTTATCCAGAGTTTCCTCTGCAAGCGGAGCATCTGCTGGCATCAATAGTAGCAGTGTTGAGCAGGAAGCTGCAAGCTGCCCCCAGAGGGGTGGCGAGGCCCCTGTGACCAGGGCCCTGGCCCCTAGAGCCGGGGCTGCAGCTCGGAGCGCCGCGCCAGTTCCCAGCCCTGCGGTGAGTGGGGGCAGGCTCGGGTGCAAAAGTGCTGTTCTTTGTTGTGAGTAATATTACATTTGTTTGCAGGTATGGATTTTATAACATGTCCACAGTGTTGATGTATATTTTTAGAATATTGGTTTCATAGAAAGTAAAAGGCATAAATCTGGCACCCCTGTCCCAAGATAAATGAGCACTTAACAACTTAGTGCAGTTCCAAAGTATAGAATATGAAAAGATGGAGCCTCGTTTTTGTCATCAGGGAGACACTGAAAATGCCTTTCTCCATCAGAATCTTCTGTGTGTAGAATAGATGTGAGGTAGCAAGGGTTTCTGAAAACCAGGAGCCGTGGTTACCAGGTGGCCGTTGTCAGCGATGGGTACGGTCCTTCCACCTATGTCCTTCTGGAAGGTTCCCTTGTGCATATCCCACCTCAACAGCTTTTTTAAAAAAAATCTTAAAAAACCAAAAAAGAAAAAGAATCTTGTGTTCCTGAGCATTGTCTTGAAGTAGAGAGCTGGGTTTTGGAATTAGACCTGCATGCAATCCCAGCCCTGCCATCTAATTAGACGTGTGGCTTCAGACAAGTCCCTTCATCTTGCAGCACCGAGGAGAGGGTGTGGGGACAGGGAGGTGAGATAATGTGCACCGAGCGCTTAGCATCGTGCTTGGCGCATAGTGCTCACTTTATTATAACTAGTCACTAAGTACATGATACGGTTTTGTTAAAATAATACTGACCTAAACTATGAAAAAATATGTAATTTGGTCTAACAGTTAAAATTTATTAACATACTAGTGTGATACTAGGAAAGAAAATGTTTTTTAAAATAGTGGCTTTGTCCCTCATACTAAAATACCATCGATATATTATGCAGAATAAACTATACAGTATAATTTGAGTTATGGCATTTTTCAAGTTGATTTTTTTCAAACCTTTCACAGTGGTTTGTTCTATTAGGTAGCAAGAACATTTTTTTCATGCGTTTACATAAGGCTACCAAGCAAATAGGATTTGAGTTGTTTTGTTATGGGACATTCTTTAGATATTGTGAGTGTTGTTATTTACCCTAAGTATTATAATGTTTCAGAAAGCTCCTTCTGCCCCTGTGAAATCTTCTGTATCTATCACTGATGCTAAAAATTGTGAGGTACAAAATCCTGAGCGACTTCAAAAAACTCCTGTTAGTCCTCTGAAAACAGAGGTATCGAAACCAGTCGGGAAGTCAGTCGTATCCCAGACAGTTCGGCCTAAAGAAGAATTAAGTAGAGAAACCTGTCTGCAGTCTCAACCTGAAGACAAATCTACAACAACAGGTTATGTATTTTCTAAAAATCCCAAGTTCCTGTTGATGTTTTCAGGGCTTCTGTTCTCAGCATTTTAAATACACAGTTTGAATGGTACAGTGTTGGTTTGCCAGGGCAAATGCCTGAATGTGTCAAATGAGACTTCAAATTCAGCTTTAATTGATAGAATGAATATTTATTAGTGTAGACTAATCCAGTTCAAAGTATTTACCCTGTTACATTTTTTTTTTTAAGTAATTTTTCTTTATTGATTTTAGAGAGAGAGGAAGGGAGAGGGGGAGAAAAATAGAAACATCAATAAGAGAGAACATCAACTGGCCGCCTCCTGCATGCCCCCACTGGGAATCGGGCCCACAACTTGGGCATGTGCCCTGACCGGAAATCAAACCAGTGACCTCTTGGTGCAGAGTTGAAACTCAACCACACTATGTCTGACTGCTTTCATGCTTCAAAGCTGAGTTGAGTCATGATAATGTTCAAATATTCTACAAAGCCCATATATTTATTTGCTGGCTCTTTATAGGAAAAATTTTGCCAATTACTGATATAGATGAACCTTTTACACAATACAAACCTAGCATCCTCTTGATGGAGGTGCTATCAATCTCATTTGTTCTGCTTTAAATGTACCCCATACTGTTATAATTCTTAGATTTTTCTGTTAGACTTCTTAGAAGCAAAATGAAATAAATTGGGCTATAGAAATATAAGTATTTGGGTTATCATGGCCAGGACACTTGGTAGTTAGGGTATATTATTAATATATACAATCAATTTTCAATCATTTAGGTTCTGATTATCCAGTTTATGGGTTTTCTAATCTCCATAGTCCTTTCACTCCCCCTTAAAAACTAAGAACTTTTAAAGAACCAAGTCCTATAATTAAATTTTAGGGCATGGAATTAAATAGTGTGGTAAAAAAAAACACCATAATTTTGAACTATTTTCATTATTGTTTACTTTCTGAATGAATAGTCCTAGTAGAATCAAAGCATTTTGGAGCTGTACTGGAGTTTAGAACTTTTCCCTCAGAAATCATAATTGTTACTTATTCTGAACAGCCTCCAAAATTGTGTGTTTTCTGCAGGAGGAGCAGGATTCAAGCCTTTCCTGGAGCGATTTAGTGAGCGTTGTCTAGAACGCGGCAAAGGAAGTCCCGCTCGTAGCACACCCCATAGGTCCCCCGTTCTCACTCCAAACACAAGGGCCATCCAGGAGAGGTTTTTAAAGCAGAACACATCTTCGTCTACCACCCACGTAGCACAGCGGCTCAAGCAGGTACGGCTTACTGCTTTGACATTATCCATTACATGGGCTCAGTGCAGAACCTGTAGAAATCAGATTGTGCATTCTCATGGCAGTCTTTTTGACTGAGATAAATAGCATCTTGATTCTCTGTGTGGTATATTTCAAATTAGAAATGTTATTGTCTTATATTCCTTTGTACTGTGGTTTTCTTCTCTTAAAACCGAAGACAAGCAAAGTTAGTAGTGTTTGGATATTATTCGTAGACATACTATTGGCTCTAGTGTAAAATAGAGTTTTTGATGGTTTTAGGAACGTGAGAAAGAACTAGCATGTCTTCGTGGCCGATTTGACAAGGGAAATTTATGGAGTGCAGAAAAAGGCGGAAACTCAAGAAGCAAACAACTAGAAACCAAACAGGTAACATAAGCAAGAAACAGGAGAGTGAACTTTGTACCAAAGTGGTGTTGGGATTTAGCTGTGGTTCTGTATTTATTGTAAAGTGATTCTTTACATACTTTCCTGTTCCAGTTAATTATGCCATGTCCCATTCATAAAGTCCTTAAATGTTAATGCCAACTCTGCTTTTCTCCTGTGATATTTTCCCATTCAGTGGAATGCTTTACCAAATTCACCAATGGCCTACTTAGTATCAAATTTTTAAAAATTATTCTCATCATTCCATTGATTTCTGATTCCTTTTAACATTCTACTTAGACGCTGGTTCTCAGTGTTTCTCAGAATCAACTTTGCTCATTCATGATTATATACCTTTCCCCAAATACCATTCTTTTAGACTGTAATCCTTTCAGTAACCAAATACCTCCCAGAATTCTCTTTACTTCTGTAATACTTCCTGTTCAATTTCATTAGTCAGCCTTCAACAAAATCTCTCCTTGTAAATGTAAACTATGTTCTGTTTAATTTCCGTGCCTACTGTGTGCAAAGTGCTGTATTAGATATATTTTTAAGCTAAAAATAATAGTTATATTTAAAGTGGATACCATAGAAAAAGAATGATAAATGTAACCAGTATGCTTAGAGAAATACCTACTTGATTGCTATTTTAAAATCAGTTCTCTTGCGTAACAAGTCACATTTCCCAGAGTTTTGAGCTCAACTCTTTTTTCCTTCTCACTTCCCCTGGGACTTCTCTTTCCCATCCTCATACCTAGCTTCAGCCAAGCACAGAAAGGTGATGATGGTCAGCTATGCTGCGCCCTCTTTCCTGGCTCGAGGCCTGGTTGTGAAGTCGAGCCCTCTACGCCTTGCTGCAGTATCTTCCCCATGTAGTCCGTCTTCACCTAGGGCTTCACTCTGTACCCCGTCATCAAAAACAACCTGCGCGTTCTGCCTTCACTCCATCCTCTTATTACTGTGTCTTCCCACTGCCTGGCCCTGGCATGTGTGAGCTGTGTGCACACACGCACACATGCACATAAACACACACGTGTCCAGTGATACATTTCCTAGATCTGTCACCAGGCTGCCTTGTCCTCTGTGTTTCCCTCTGCCATCACCTTAATCACATGTAGTTTTATATGTGTTGGATACCCTGTTCGAGTCTGGCTACTCTCTAGCCCCTCTTACCCACTTTTGGCAGAGAAATATTTTTAAATGGCAAATACTCATATATTCACTTGATTAAAATCCAGGAGAGCTCTCCGTAGCTGCCAGAAAACTGACTAAAGTGCTTGACTTGACATCGGAAATCATTCAGAATCTGGCTCCTCCCCACACGTCTGTTCTCTCAAGGAGGCTATTTGTGGTTTTTCAAATGTACCCATGTTGTCAGATCGCCTCGTCTTTGCCTTGCTATTCTCTGCGTGGAGTATCCCCGCAGCCAGCTCCTACGTCCTATGAGTAGGTCCGAGTTCAGCCCGCTCTGGACATCCGTACTGGGCCCCTTCCCAAGGCCTCTCTTGCACCTGTGTCATTCTGTATTCACCGCAGTGAGTGCATCTGCCCGCAGTCGTTTCGACTCTGCTTCCCACTTCTGTGAGGGCCGCACGAGGCTCTGTTGGCTTGGCTCACAGTAGGAGCTCATTACACTCGTCTTTACAGAAAGGGTCGACTGTGCAGTCTTTCCCGTCAGCATAGAAGAAGTCATCCTCTGTCATCTTAAAACAAAACCAACTCTCTTGACCCTGCCCCTCTCTCTGCGCCTCCTGTTCCTGCAGACTGTTCCAGAAGAGCATCCTCTACTTGGTGCTTCCAGTGTTTCCCTCCGATGTTCCTCCACTCACGCTCCCTCCCTGGCCACTCACTGGGCCCGCTGCCCTTGCCAGCTTCGCCATGGTCTTCAGTGATCAGTGTTTAAGCACTGAACTCGACCTGTTAGCAGCATCTGACCTTGCTGATCACTTCTGTTTGAAGCACCTTCCGCATTTGGTTGCCAGGATGTCATGGTCTCAGGGCTTTCCTTCTGCCTCTCGGGAAAGCACAGGACCGCAGTTCTCGAGCTACTTCATGCTGAATGATTCTGATGAGCCTGTGCAGTTTCTCCCCAGCTAGCTGCACACACACATGTAAATAAAATCCTGAACACAATAACTGGGAGTTCAAGGGTCTCCCCACCTTAAAACTCATCTGTGTTACCCACAGAGGGGACAGCCAGAGAGGGGCAGGAAAGGCAGGGGTGGGGGTCACAGAGAGCGGGAGAGAGCCGTGGAAGGAAGGAGCGGGCGGCGTGGTCAGGTGTGGACTGGACAAGACTGCTGTGGAAACAAGGCTTGCTGTGCCTTGGCAGGAGCAGGCTAGTGAAGAGGGTGGAGTGCAGCTGGGAGGGGGGGGCAGAGCCCGAGTGTGGGCGGTGGGAGTTTCCTCCAGAAGGGAACAGAAAGGAGGTGGTGGCTGGCGGGGAGAGGATGTGACGTACAGTTTATATTTGCTGTGTTCCTTCCAAGAAGACTTCAAGTCACTGTTGGTGTAGAGGGGAAGGGCCTAGTGGAAAGCCAGAGGTCAGGATAGAGGAGGAAGAGGTGAGAATTGAGGGGGTGAGGAAAGTCTCTGAAGAGGTGAGTGGGCGAATTCCAGAGCGCAGGTGGAGAGAGGGTGAGGGCAGGTTCCTGGCGTGATAAAAAGGGAGAAGGAAAGCTTTGGCTCTCCATGCCAGGCCTCCGGTGGGCACTCTTAAAGTGCACTGTATCATTTAATCCTCACGCTAACCCTGGAAGGTAATGACCCCCTTTTCTGGTCGAGGGACTAGCTGTGGGGAGGTAAATCACTTGTGCAAAATGGGACAGGTGATACTTGGGGAAACCCGGGCTTCCCCTGGACCTTCCGACCCAGAGCCCCCTCCTTGACCCACCACCTTTATTCCTGGGCCGCAATCCACAATAAAAGGATGTGGGCTTATTGAGTTTGTGCTGTGTTTTCAAAGCTATGATGTATGCCTTTGAGAATGAGTGTCATTGCCTCCCACTGCCACCATCGTCGTTCTCTCATTTACTCAACTAATGTTTGAGTGCCTGTTGTATACAAACCCCAAAGCTTTTTATTCTCCAGGTGTGCTCAGCCCATTCTTCTCACATCTGAGATGCAGCTGCCCTGTCTTCTTCCCCTCCTCAAACTTCTTGCTTACCTTGAAGACAGTCTGCGGCACACTGTTTGATAGTTTGCTGTGTGTTTATACATCAAACTGGCTACTAGCTGTGTATGCAAGTTACTTAGCTCTGAGTCTCAGTTTTCTCATGTGTAAAATGGAGCTACTAGTACCTACCTTAGAGAGTTACTGGGAGGATCAGGGGAGACAGTGATGTGAGGTGCATAGAATAGAGAGGTAGTGACACACACGAAGCTCTGTCAATGTTAGCTGCTGTTCTTATTCTTATTCCTACTCTTTAATCACAGCCTCTTCTAAAACAAACGAAACAAGGAATGCTTCTTTTGCACATCCTTGTAAATAATTTAAAGTGACTCAGATAAAGGAACTGTTTTCCTTTCTCTTTTTTCCTTTTCTTCTGATCTGTGTGTGCTTTGTTGTTTTCTTTGCATTTTACCCACAGGGTAACTGGTCAGTGGGATCCGGAGGTGGGACCTGGCCTTGATCTCATAGGTGTGGGATGTGATAAGTGACGTGGGGGTTATCTTCCCACACACTGAGCTCTGATGCAGACGTTCATTCTCCTGTGCCTCCTGGTCTCCGTGATTTACACGCGGAGTCACCGCGACCGTGAGCGAGCACTGCGGGCCTGTGTTCCGAACATGCTGGGCCCTTGCACGGCCACGGTCCGTTTTGTTCTCAGGAAGCTTGTGTAGCATGACTCTGGCTTGCTTCATTTAATAACATGTAAAATACACAAATCTATCGTTTTGAGAAGTACAATTTATCTCTTCATTTGCTTTTTTCAGGAAATTCACTGTCAAAACACTCCCCTCAAAAAACATCAAGTTGTTTCTAATACCCCATCACGTCCAGTAACAGAAAAGGAAGAAGTGACAGAAAATCAGACTCCAGCGAAACCTCCCAGGACGGGACCTACAGGTCAGTGTCTCCTCCTGCTTCACTGTGTGAAGCTGTCAGTGTGCCGTCCTTTGGAAACGGGATTGGAAGTCAGAAACGCCGCTGTGGTGTAAAAAGGCAGATTCGTTTCTTCGTTTCCACACACTTTTCCATTTCTGGCCATGCAGTCTGCTGCTTCCTCAGGTCTCCTTCCTGAGGAGGATGTTGCTCTTGACGAGAGCGTCAATTCCTGCAGCTTGTAACATCTAGTGCATTGTAAGGTGTGCATGCTGGTTAATTCAGCTCCTCTGCAAGAGTTTGCAAGTGGACTTCTTAGAACTCATGTGCAATACTGTGTACAAAGAGATTAATTGTAGCACTGCTTGTAATTGTAGTAAGATTTAAATGACCTAAATGCCCGTCAGGAGAAAACTGTTTAAATAAATTGTGTTAAATCCATGTCATCAAATGTTCTGTAGCTGATTAAAAGATTAAGGTAGCTCTGTATGTAATGGCATTTAATATATCAAGGACTTTTAGAGAAATATATTTTTTCTTTATTGATTTTAGAGAGCAAGGAAGGGAGATAGAAACATGGGTGAGAGAGAACATCGATTGGCTGCCTTCCACATGCCCCACCTCGGGATTTGGCCCACAACCTGGGCATGTGCTCTGACCGGGAATTGAACTGGCGACCTCCTGTTGCATGGGTCGACACTCAACCACTGAGCCACACCAGCTGGGCTATTTTTTAATTTTTAAATTGTGATAAAAAGCACATTACTAAAATTTAACTATCTAAATAGTTTTTAAGTGCCTAGCTCATTAGTGTTAAGTATACTCACATTGTTCAGGAATAGATCTCCAGAACTTTCACGTCTAGCAAAACAGATTCTGTACCCATTAAGCAACCATCTCCCCATTTCTCCCTCTCAACCCCTGGTAACCACCATTCTACTCTTTGTTTCTATGAATTTGACTACTTTAGGGACCTTCTATAAGTGCAGTCATACAGAATTTATCTTTTTGAGACTAGCTTATTTAATTTAGCATAACGTCTTCAAAGTTCACCTGTGTTGTAGTATGTAACCGAATTCCCTTCCTTTTTAAGGCTGAATGATAGTTGTGTATGTATATATGCCACATTTTGTTTATTTCTTATCTGTCATTGGCTCATGTGGGTTGCTTCCACCTCTTGGCTGTTGTGAACAGTGTTGCTATGAACATGGTGTGCAAAATCTCTCTCTGAGACCCTGTTTTCAGTTCTTTTGGGTTTATTCCTGGAAGTGGGATTACTAGATTATACAGTAGTTCAACTGATAATATTTTGAGGAACCCTCATACTGTTTTCCACATCTTCACCAACACTGGTTATTTTTATTGCAACCATCCTAGTGGGTGTGAGGTGACAGGTCATTGTGATTTTGATTTGCATTTCTGTTATGATTAGTGATATTGAGCATCTTTTCATATACTTGTTGGCAATTTTGTATCATCTTTGGAGAAATGTCTATTCAAGTCTGTTGCTCTTGTTTTTTAATCAGGTTATTTGAAATTTTTATTGTTGAGTTGTAGTTATTTAAAAATTCTGAATATTAACCCCTTATCAGGTATATGATTTGGAAATATTTTCTCCCATTCCATACGTTGCCTTTTCTGTTCTGTTGACTTTGTCATTCGGTGCACAGAAGTTTCTGTTTGATGCGGTGCCATTTGTCTATTTTGGCTTTTTTTGCACGTGCTTTTGGTGTCATACCCAAGAAATCATTGCCAAATCTATTGTCATGAAGACTTTTCTCTCTGTTTTCTTCTAGGACTTTTATAGTTTTGAGTTTTATGTTTAGGTCTTTGATCCATTTTTAATTAGTTTTTGTATAAGGTGTCAGATAAGCACCCAACTTCATTCTTTTGCATGTGTATATCCAGTTTTTCTGACATCATTCATTGACGAGACTGCTTTTTTATCCATGAATCATCTTGGCAGTCTTGTCAAAGATTATTTGACCATATATGTGAGGTTTTATTTTTGGATCTGTCTTCAACTCCATTGGTCTTTATGTATTCCTTTATGCTAGTACCGTACTGTTTTAGTTTGTTTAGTTTTATAATGTGTTTTGACATCAGGAAATGTTGGTCTTCTAACATTTTCAGAATTATTTTGGATATTCAGGATCCCTTGAAATTCTATATACATTTTAGGATGGGCTTTTCTGTTTCTGAAAAAAATGCTTTAGGGATTTTGATAGGACTTGCTTTGAATCTGTACATTGCTTTGGTTAGTATTGACATCTTAATAATAAGTCTTCCCATACATGAACATGGGATATAGCACTGTTGTCTCTAATACACAAACATGGGATATCTTTCCATCTAGTTGTGTCTTCTTCACTGTCTTCCATCCATGTTTGTAGTGTTCAGTGTACAAGCCTGTCACTATTGTAAATGGAATTGTTTTCTTAATTTCCTTTTTAGATTGTTCATTGTTGGTGTATAGAAATGCAACTGATTTTTGTGTATTGATTTTGTATACTGCATCTTTGCTCAATTTATTAGTTCTAACAGCTTTTTTGTGGAATCTTTATAGTCTTCTATATATAAGGTCATGCCATCTGTGAACAGAGATAATTTCACTACTTCTTTTCAAATTTGAATCCTTTTTATTTCTTTTTCTTGCTTACTGCTCTGACTGGGACTTCCAAAGCGTTGTTGAATAGAAGTGGTGAGCGTGGGTGTCTTTGTCCTGTTCCTGGTCTTAAAGGAAAAGCGTTCAGTCTTCCACACTGGGTGTGATGTTAGTTGTTGGTTTCTCACGTATAGAGGTATTTCCTTCTGTTGCTAATTGTTTAAGTGTTTTTATCGACACTCTTTTTAAAAAGTGAAAAACAAATTGCAGAATAGTATGTACGTATGATCACCTTCTGATAAATTAAAAGGATACACACATACATCACCATAGGGGGAAATTGGAAGGACAAAGAGTAACTTGGTCATATTGGTGTCCCTTTCTCTTGGTGAGGGAGAGATGGAATGTGAAGAGAGGACAGGTGTTTGGGGTATTCTCTGTACATTTCTAGATTTGAAATGCGGTTTTATAATCATAAAAAAGATCCAGAAGATTCTATAACCAAAATATTCTGGGTTCTTATATATATATATTAATATAGTTTTTCCTAAAACTTTTTTAGGTTTCACTGAATGTGAAATGACAAAGTCTAGCCCTTTGAGAATAACATTGATTTTAGAAGAGGAAAAGTCTTTAAAAGTAACCTCAGATCCAAAGGTTGAGCAGCAGAAAGGTTGGTTTTTATTCTTTATTTCTTATTAATACTGAACATATAAGAAAGAATATATTGGTGGAAGCACATGTTCGACTGTACATATGGTGTTCTATGTTTCCAAATGGCTTGTGATTTTATACTCTCTCTTTAAAAAAAATTTTTTTTTAACCAACAAGTGCTCTAGCCTCCACAAAGATAGGAGTGCTGTTCACAGTTACCTTTTGGTCGCGGACCCCTGTGGAAATGTGATCAGGGCCCTCCTGCCCCTTTCGTAGGCCAGGCATGCGCTGTCCCCTCTGTGTACCGCCAGAGCGCCAGTGCCCGACGTGCCTGGGCCCTGCCCGAGCTGACGGCGGTGTCCGGGTGCTGACTGCAGGCCAGAGGCAGCGCCCACAGTAGACAGAGTTATGTGAAGGAACACTTTTGTAAGTCTGAAGCTTTGGGCTGTAATCCTGAGGTCTTACTTAATAATCTTTTTTACACCCAAAGCATCAAATCAGCTTTTTTTTTTATCCTCACCTGAGGACATTTTTTCCATATTTTGTTCAGATAGAGTGGGAGGGAGAGAGAGAGAGAGAGAAACATCGATGTAAAAGGGACACATCGAGTGGTTGCTACCCGCACGACCCAACCAGGGCTGGGGACAAACTGCAACCAAGGTACGCACCCTTAGTGGGAACCGAACCCGGGTCTCTCTGGACCACAGGCTGACGCACCAACCGCTGAGCCAAACTGGCCAGGGCATCAAATCAGCTTTTAATAATTTCCACTTTTATTGCTAAGCAAATATTACTAGAAATTTGAAAATTATTTTGGTTTTATATATTAGTCAATTTTATTAGTGTTTGTTTAGGAGGTGTGTTTTCATCAGGGCCCCCCGTTTATATGGATGTTAGAGCCCTGCTGTCCCTTCAATGTTTTTATTTATCTACTTTTAGTTTTTAATTTTTTTTCTCAGGTTGACCTTTATTGTGTTTAACATTCTCTATGCTATATTTTATTTCTTTTTTAATTGAATTTATTGTGGTGACATTGCTAAATAAAACTATTACGTTTCAGGTGTACACCTCTGTAATACAGCATCTGTGTATCTTGTGTTGTGTGTTCAACCCAAGTGATCCCTTCAGTTTTGAAAGGTCTGACCCCTAGTGTTCACTTATTGGAACATCTTTCAGAAGTGGCACGTGAGATTGAGATGAGCGTGGATGACGATGATGACATCAATAGTTCAAAAGTGATTAATGACATCTTCAGTGAGGTCCTAGAGGAAGGTGGGCTGGATGTGCCAAAGAGCCAAGAGGAGATGGATCGGGCAGACGCAGAGAGCGGCGAAGACCAGGAGGACGCACTGAACATCTCTTCCATGTCTTTGCTTGCTCCGTTGGCGCAGACCGTTGGTGAGGTAAGTCCAGAGGTGAGAAAAGATGGGCCAGGCTCGGGACATGGAGAAACTAAGGATGCAGTATTGAGATCTCCTTGTGTTTAGTGGGTGCGTGGGGATTTAGCACTCTGTAGCCGGGGGGATTTTATAAACTTGATATTAATGCTCTTGATAGCGAGCTTAAAATTCTTCCGCGGTTTCCTGTTGACCTCAGCTAAAACCCAGACTAACCTGGCTTCAAAGGCCAGGCATTTGGGCCCAAACCCCGGCTCTGCCATTTCCTGATGTTTATTGGTCAGATCATTTAACCTCTTTGCCACAGTTCATGCATCTGTTAAATGGGGTTAAAAATAGTAGCTACATCATGGGGTTGATGTGAATATTCAAACATATTCGTATATTGGTATTTAGCACCAGACAGATAATTAACGTTTATTGAGAGCTAGCTATAGATATTACTGGCTCGCCCTCCATTGAATAATTGCGTCTTTGTTTGGAAATTGATTCCGGGAGAAATATTTTAAAGAGGGTTATGAGTGTAGGTTTTAGCTGTCTTTCAACTTTTATCTATTTATATTATTTTTAGGAACTTAGATTGTCTTGTTTTTTTATGGTGAATCAATTGACTTGTTGGATATTTATTTGCTGTTAATAGAGAAGAATTAATTCAGTTCCTCAGAATTATCATTTAGAATCAGTGTCGTCCATAAAATCTAACACCCATTGTGCTTCCCTGCAGAGTTTAGTTTCCTCACCTAGACTGAAAGACAGCAGCGCGTGTGATGAGAGTCCAACACCAGGAAAATTCCAGAGAACCCGTGTTCCTCGGGCTGAGTCCGGCGATAGCATTGGTTCTGAGGATCGGGGTCTTCTTTACAGGTGAGAACACTTTGGGGAGTGTCCACTCACTAACAGTCATGGTTTAGATTGAGCACTTACAATTATAATTAACTTGTCTGTGACTTCGGAGTAACTCTGTCAGCCTCTCTTTCACCAAGTGCATTTTCAGTACCAGTATGGAATTCTGCTGAAATGTTTATGGAAAGGTAGTGCTTAGAGTGCTGCTTGATTTCTAATGAAGTGTAACTGTTTCCTGAAGCATCGATGCATACAGATCTCAGAGAATCAAAGAAACAGACCGTCCTTCAATAAAGCAGATTGTTCGGAAGGAAGATGTCACTTCAAAGTCGGAGGGAAAGAAGCATGCTGAAGAAAAGAGTGTCTTTCCTTGTCAGGTTAACGTCAAACAGAAGATGCAGGTGTGTTCTGTGAAGGGGTGTGCAGTGTGTCCTGCACGGGCTGAGCTGGAGACGAGCCCCAGCCTTTTCATTCTGTACCCTCAGGGTCGGTCAGCGTGGCGCTGGCAGCTTAGCAATGCTTTATTAGAAAAGTCGGGAAATCTGTCTTTTAAACATGTTTCTTCTAAATATTCTTGAAGTGTAACTATAAATTACATGATGGTGAAATGTAAATTCATTTTGCTCTTAAAGTTTCTTTTACTCTAAGGAAAACATTTTTAAAGATTACAGTATAGATGTAATTTAAATAAAATGAATCAGATAATCTCTAAGTCTTGACTTTGTTGGACACAGTCCCAGTTATAACTTTAGTAAGTGGGTGTTGAAAGTCTTTTCATGAGGAAGAACGTTTATAGTGTAATTATCACAGTATGTTAAATGCTCTTGGTGCATAGTCTAGAAACTTGAACAGTGAAACCGGTAATGTTTGGATTTACTGGAAAATTGGGAAGTTACTGAATCAGGTTGGTTATAAGTAAAGGGAAAGTTGTGACGGAAAATGTGAGTTTTCCCTCCTCTCCTTGGTGTCACCAGGAGCTCAACAATGACATCAACCTGCAGCAGACAGTAATCTACCAAGCCAGCCAGGCTCTGAACTGCTGTGTGGACGAGGAGCACGGGAAAGGGTCCCTAGAAGAAGCTGAGGCAGAAAGACTTCTTCTGATCGCAAGTGCGTGTGACACCCGCAACACTCACAACAGTTTCAAACCAGGAAAACCGTTTTATCCCGAATAGTCTGAAACCTCTAATTGTAGAGAAAAGGTCTTTTCTGATCATCTGTTTCAGTCCATCTATTTTTTTGTTTGTTTGTTTCTTATAAAACCTGTGGAACACCCTACACATAAAATGAGATGTAGTTGGCATGAAAGGGTGAAAGAAACTGGAATACGTTTGAAGGAATGTAGTTGTGAAGAGTATGCAAAGAATGAACAAATGAATATGTTTACACACACACACACACACACCCTCACTCTCTCTGCACCAGTCAACCTCTCTGTAGCTAAAAAAGTATGAATTTTGTTGTGTGTGTACATGTAGTGAGGGGTGATGAGGCACGTTAGGGTAGAAAGATTATACCACACAAGAAAACCGACCAAAAGTTGAAGCATTGACTTGGTAAACAGATGAACAATTAAGGTTTTCCCCTGTTTATATAAAGAAAGATACTGATTTTGTCTTTGGTCTTATGTACTATTAGCACATCAGTGCATTTTCTTGAATTAGTCTCCTTTAGAAACAGTTGCAATTTTTAATGTTTGAAATACTAACGTGCATATTTTTACGTAGCTGAGAAGAGGACACTTTTGATTGATGAGCTGAATAAACTGAAGAGTGAAGGGCCTCAGAGGAAGAATAAGGCTGGTCCCATCTCCCACGGTGATTTTGTCCCGTCCACAGGATCAGTTACTTTGTCAGAAATCCGCTTGCCTCTGAAAGCAGATTTTGTCTGCAGCACAGCTGGGAAAGCGGGTACGTGGTTTTCATCTGCCTGCCGTTTAGCGCGTGTGTTTAACTAGGAACCTCACCTGGACTGGAATTCTGCAAATGGGAACGAGTAGAGAGCAGGCATAAAGATGCAAAGCTTGTATCTTGGGCCTTTAATTCCTTTTGTGAAGTTGTGTGTAAAAATAACCAAGGGAAGTTTCATTTATGGCTGACTGACCCACGCAATAACAGGTACGGCTCTGACTGAAAGGGGGCCAGCTGCACGTGAGTTTGAACATAAGTACTTCCCTGAGCTGAGTTATCCTGACATAGAGATCAGGGTTTTTTATTATTATTAATTAATTTTTGTTACAGATGTTTCTCCTTTTCCCCCCACTGATTCCCCCCTCCCCCTCCCTCCCTGCCCTGTCCCCAGTTTGTTGTCCATGTCCATTGTTCATGCACACACGCATATAAGTTCTGTGGTTTATCTCTCCCCCACCACACCCTCTTCTGGGGATTGTCAGTCTGTACCCCACTTCCACGTCTCTGGGACTACCCCATTCCTCAGACTGTTATGTTCATTATATTCCACAAATAAGTGAGATCATATGAAACTTGTCTTTCTCTGTTTGGCTTGTTTCACTTAGGATGATTGGAAAAGGTATTTGGCACATCTAAAAGAACTTATTTTACTTAACTTTATTCTGTGTAAAATTCATCCCATTATAGAAATTTGTTCTGTAAGTTCTGGATTACTGGCTGTGGGAGAGAAGAGCCACACAGTTGAGACCCTTCCGTTGAATTTTATTCCCCTTCCCCTCTGGATTGACTGAGTAATCTTTCTAAACGCAGTCTTCTCCCAAAAATCATTTATCACCAAAGTGGGGAAAGGAGAATATGGCACCAGGATCTGAAGACAGGGCAAGCTTAAGAAAATTAAAGTTTCATTAAATTTTGGAATTTTTTTAAGGTTTCTTTAAGTTTTTGTGTGAGACATTCTCTTTGAGAGAAAGGAGGGCTAGACATAGGTGAGAAGTGAATGTGAAGAGCGGGGAGAACGGAGATCTTTCAGGGTTCAAGCATTTTGTTTGATTTTGGTGGGGTGTGGGCAGAAACCTGTTGGTAGTTTCATGTGTACCTTGAGGTCTGTGATTATTTAATGACAAATAGTGAAGAAATATTTCATGTTTTCATTAGAATTTATCTTGGAGGAACTTTCACATAAATACCGTATTTTAATCTCAGTTTGAAATATAATAGTATATCCTCAGATATATATTCCGGTATGTACTATTCAGGTATAAACTATTAGCTAAAGAATTAGGGGTCAACAGGTAAAATTCACAATCAGCAGAACTTGAGGGATGTGGAGTGGAGTTATTTTAATTCACATAGTAAGAAGAAACCTTGATGAAGCTTATTCCAGAATTATGACCATCTGCTTATGTCTTATTTACCTTTTTGTGTCTGAAAAGTGGATTTTAGAAAATTTTCAACGAATGTTATCTAAATCAGTGCAGAGTTACTTTATTCTTTGTCTCCCATAATGCTGGTCATCCAATTCTGCTTCTGCCTGTGCTCATTCTGCAATGCGATCACTTCTTGCAGATGCAGCGAATCACTATTTCCTGATTATACTGAAAGCTGGGGCTGAGAATATGGTGGCTACGCCACTGGCAAGCACTTCAAGTTCTCTTACTGGTGATGCCCTGACGTTCTCTACTGTGTACACTCTGTAAGTACCGTAGGCTTTTGCTGTTCAAACACATTCTACTTTTAATAGTTAATACAGTCTAAGCACACAGGTGGCATTTACAACCTTTGAAGTGCAGGATGGTCATTCTTTTTATATGGACAAAGAACTCTGTTTTCCTTTTATTGGCTTAACTTTTCTCTGTTTCTGACATTTTCTTCCATGGCGTAGCACATTGCTTCCATGTGACTATAGGTATTTAATGTTTTGAAGTGTTTTGAAATATGTATGTGTGTAATAGTGATCATATTTTTCTATATATACTTTGAATCTCATAATGTACTTAATATTCAGTCTCAGTGAAAAGACATATTTAGTGTCACAGGTTTATTTTGAAACTAGAATCAAAATTCAGTTTGAAAAAAATTTCTTTCATTATTGAAGATCTCGAGTTGTAAAATACTGAAGAAAAGATTTGACTTGTATTATAGGAAAAAATAGACTGTTCCTACCAATTGTTATATTCATATGTGGGTTAGAGCTATTGTCTTTAGCTGGAACAATGAATTCCTTTGCTGTCAGTCTTGTAACAGCATTGGTGGTATCCTCTTGGGACAGAACTTGGTTTTTTTTTTTTACAGTTTTAATGCTTTGAATTTTCAGGGAAGATGTGTCCAATGACTTTGAAATCGGTATTGAAGTTTACAGCTTGGTAAGTAGTTAAAGCTTTCTAAAATAACTAGTATATTTTTCTTAAAGATATCAGATTTAAGCTAATTATACTTTGAATTTATGTATAGGTGCAAAAGAAAGACCCCTCAGTGGCTGATAAGAAGAAAAAGGCACATAAATCCAAGGTGAGGATGAATGAAACCCGGTAAAATATCAGAAATCATAGCTACCATACCAGTTTCAATTTATGTACAATTTTTATGTACAATTTTAAATGATAGTCAAGTTTTTGGATCATTTTTATGCCCCAGATTTCAGTTACTGCATTTAATAGGTCTGAATACTGAAAGTAAACTTCCAGTGAGTGGTCATGATCCTCATGCACTCAGTCTAGATACTTCTGTTTTCTCTATATTTACCTGACAGCTTACTTTTATTTAAGTTTTTTTTTTTTATCTCACCTAAGGACATTTTTGTATTTTATCTTCAGATAGAGTGGGAGAGAGGGAGGAAGAGAAAGAGAGAGAAACATCAATGTGAGAGAGACACATCGAGTGGTTGCCACCCACACGACCCCAACCAGGGCCAGGGCCAAACTGCAACCGAGGTACGTGCCCTTAGCGGGAACCAAACCCAGGTCTCTGTGGTCCGCGGTCCAACGCCTAACCGCTGAGCCAAACCGGCCAGGGCGACAGCTTACTTTTATTACCTCTTTCAACTTGGTCACACGTTTCCCTGGAACTCGGATCTCACTAAGGCCCTACACCAGCTCTTGGGAATGGTATGGTCACTGCAGGCGTGGGAATGGAACCTCTGGCTTGACCCTCATCCTTCCTAGTCTTGGCTCTGTTATTCTTTTACATGTCATCATTTAAAAGAATTTTGTGTAGCTTTAACAAGCAAGAATGACAGTATGGGTAATGTCTTTTTTTTTTTTTACTGATTAATTTTTGTTACAGATGATTCTCCTTTTTTCCCCCACTGATTCCCCCCCTCCCCCTTCCCTCCCTGGCCCTTCCCCATATTGTTGTCCATGTCCACTGTTCATGCATACATGCATATAAGTTCTGTGGTTCATCCCTCTCCCACCTCCCCACTCCTTAGGGGATTGTCCTCAAACTGTTATGTTCATTATATTCCACAAATCAGTGAGATCATATGAAATTTGTCTTTCTCTGTTTGGCTTGTTTCACTTAGGATGATACTTTCCAGGTCCCTCCATGTAGTCTCAAAGGATAAGAGATCTTTCTTACCGCTGCGTAGTACTCCATTGTGTATATGTACCACAGCTTTTTGATCCATTCGTCTACTGATGGGCACTACCGTTTCCCTTCCCACCGTGCACGGCCCTGGAAACTTTATTGTTTTTTTTATCCTCACCCGAGGAGAGGACATTTTTCCATTTTTCGTTCAGGTAGAGTGGGAGGGAGAGAGAGGAACAGAGAGAGAGAGAGAAACATCGATGTGAAAGGAACACACCAAGCGGCTGCCACCCGCACGACCCACCAGGGCTGGGGACAAACTGCAACCGAGGTACGCGCCCTTAGCGGGAACCGAACCTGGGTCTCTCAGGACCGCAGGCTGACGCTCTAACCGCTGAGCCAAACCGGCCAGGGCGGGTAATGTCTTAATAAAAGACTCAAGTATGGTATATTCATATTTAAGAATTTTTTTCTATGTGGGAGTGTCTCAAGGTTGATTTTTTTTTTTTATTTTTATTTATTTTTTTTTTTATCCTCACCCTAGGATATTTTCCATTTTTTGTACAGATAGAGTGGGAGGGAGAGAGAGGAAGGAGAGAGAGAGAGAAACATCGACATGAAGGGACACATCGAGTGGCTGCCACCCGCACGACCAACCAGGGCCGGGGACAAACTGCAACCGAAGTACGTGCCCTTAGCGGGAACCGAACCCGGGTCTCTCCGGACCGCAGGCCGACGCTCTAACCGCTGAGCCAAACCGGCCAGGGCAAGGTTGATTATTTTTAAGCTCCAGTGTTTAATAGGAAATATACTAAGGTGTCTTTTCTTTTAGGCTATTACTCCAAAGCGACTTCTCACATCTATTACCACAGTAAGTAGAATTTTTTAAAAATTGAGCTTCCCTGTGAAATCTTGTTACACATTTTGCAAATTGTTTAACCATTTCTAAATCCTTAGCACTTTGGAAGTCTTTAAAATACACCAATGGGGGGGAATCTCTGATATTTACATAAAAAAATAATATTTTCTGAAATGTAGTTCTTGCAGTGTTGAAAGGTTTTGTATTTAATATTCAAATCCTTGTATCTGATAAAGAAAATAACTTGTTTCTTCTTCACACCCTGTTTTAGAAAAGCGCCCTTCATTCTTCAGGTGAGTGGATCTTAAACTCTTGGAAACAGAGTGAGGAAAAGAGGCAAGCAGTGTCCTTTCATGCAGAGCTGTCTCGATTTATGAGGGTTTGCAGTCTCCTTTGGAAGGTGGTTTTCAGGAACATGTAACATTACTGCCACGTTAGCATGCTGTCCACTTGCTGCTGTCAGATGCCACTGGTCATCACATCGTTCAGGTGCCAGCAGGCAGTACCACGACACCTGGCCGCTTGACCACTGCGCGGGGGCACTACTTCACCCTCTCGAACTGTCCCGTAGATTGTTTTGTGCCCTCACCACTGTGGAGTTGACTTCTTTTAACTGCTGGTCATGACTGGCGTGGTATCACGTCGGGAAAGCATCTTTCCAGTGCAGTGGGAACTGGGGTACCAGTACGCCAGGGAAGGCCTTTTCTAGAATGGCTTAAGCCTGTTTCCCAGTGGAGATTAGGACTGAGTTGGTTTCACGCACCTCCTTTGGCTTTTGGTTTCTTCTTGGTGCAAGAGTAACTAAGAAGCACCATGCAGTGTAGTCTGCTGCTCAGTGTGTCTCCCTAGACTATAGCAATGTGGTCTTACCTCTTATCAATTAAGAAAATTGTATTTTATGCACACATTTTGAGGTTCTTTACCTTTAAAAACCGATCTGTCCCAGATGTTCAAAGGTGCCTATACTTTACTGTAGTTAAATATAAAATACGTAACAGATTGTTTTCATTAGCAAATTAGATGGTTTCCCTCTGTATTTAGAGATGGAAGAAAATGAGGCAGTTTTCTCTGTGGCAGTTTAATTTCATTCTGTGAGGGTGAGGTGAGGAATTGTTATTTACACTTACAGAAGTCGCTCCGAACTAACCTCAGTTCCTTTTCCTTTAGTTATGGCTAGTCCAGGCGGCCTCAATGCCGTGCGTACCAGCAACTTTATCCTTGTTGGATCCTACATGCTGTCGTTATCTTCGGTCGGAAATACTAAATTTGCTCTGGAAAAGGTAATCCAAATTCATTTATTTATTTTTAGGAAAATTAAATCAATGGAAATGCCCCAGTACTTTCAAGTATTTAAAATCTTTGACTGAAAATGTATGTTCTTAGAATTGTACATTTTAATTAGGCATTGGTGTACCTACATGATCTATCTTTTGATGTTGGAAATATTTCTCCCTTGTATCTTAACAGTTAAATCCTCAAAGTACTGCTGATTTGTTCTAAATGTCAGTTCTGACTAAAGTATTACTTTTTAAAAATTTATTTTTCAATTATAGTTGATAGACAATGTTTTATTAGTTTCAGGTGTCCAGCATAGTGATTAGACATTTATATACCTTACGAAGTGATCCCCCCAATAAGCCCAGTACTGTCTGAGGCCATACATAGTTACTACAATAATATTAGCTACATTCCCTGTGCTGAACTGTACATCCCCTTGATTATTTTTTTCTCCATTAATTTGTTTTTGTTACAGATGTTTCTCCTTCCCCCCGCCCCCGCTAGACCCTCTCCTGCCTCTATCTAACCCCCCAGCCCCATGATTATTTTTGTTAACTGGAAGTATTACTTCTTGCACGTAGATGTTAAGCTTACGGTTTTAAACAGTCACTTGCCCACTTGAACTGATATTTTGAAATGAGTAGTATTTTACAGATTTAGTTTTGACAAGATAGGGAAAGAGGTTAATTTTCTAGAAAAGTACCCATGAGTTTAAGGACTTTCCTTCGCGCACACTCCTCCCCAGTGTAAAGCTCCAGCATTCAGACCTGCGTAATATCTGAGTGCTTTTCCCCAAATGTAATAGGACTAAACTTCTAATAACTAACGAGACCATTTTAAGGAGTGAGAGAACTAGAGGCAAACTTTAGTTCTTGGGTTGACCTCTGCTTTATAATACAGAGGCATTTTTAAATACTGTAAGATATTTTTGTAGTCAGAATGTAAACGTGAAGTATTAACAGTCAGGAGCCCTGCTGGGAATTTCCTCTTTGAGCAAAGTCTTCCCTTCTCATAGCTCTGCATTTCCACGAGACCCTTTCCTCCAGTTGATAGGCAGAAACCAGCCTATATTCGAAATTTTATTTATTGTTAATGCATAAGCGTATTTTTTAACATGTTAACTTAAAAGATTTTTGCACCTTTTTATTTAGTAATTCATTTAGTTTAACAAATTGAGTGCTCCTGGGTCATTTTTTCTCTTTGTCTTTTATTTTTTTTGTTTTAGATAAATTATGATGTAAAAGAGCGAGAGCTACTGGGCTATTTGTTCCAGGAAAAGGTTGCCATTTTTTTCTTTGCTTGAAACTAACAAGCTTAAAAACCAATCGTTAATTTTTGGCCTCTGTATTTGTTCACTAACCACGTCTGTATCTTCTTGGTATTTTGGATAAGTAAGAACATTATAAACATTATTCTTTCTTTGGTCTCTGGCAGTGGGCGTGTTTACTTCTCTGTTTTTTCATGCATGCTTGGTGCTGGCTTTTCTCCTACATTCTTTTTTTCAGGTTTTAATTCTTTCAGATTCTGTAGTCACTTCAACGTTGATTTTCTTGGTACTGAAATACCAAATTACTAACTAAGTCTAAAACTAAAATTTATTCAATATGGTTTATCCCCCATGTACAGAAAGAGCTACTGGTCATGATTGGCTAATAGGCATATTGCTATGTAGATGATGCTTTATTTGTAATTTTAAAATTCAAATGCATTTAACACTAAAATCATGCTAAATGTAATCATATTTTAGATTTTCAAAACAATTTTTAATATCCTTGTGAAGATCAAGTGCAGGCATTTTGTGGATATATAGAAATACTAATTTATAAAATGCTGGACAGTATTATTATTGTCAAAACAAGATTTGCAGATTAGATAAAAATAAGAACTGGGGTTCTGTGAACTGTATTCCTTACTGTCGTCTCTCACAAAGCCAGGCCCTGCATCTGTAGAGAGTTCATTAATCTATCAAATGAAAGGGATTTTAATGATATTTTAAATATAGAATGATTACTTTTTTGAAAATTTCTTTGTCATTTTAATTTAAAATACCACAAATTAAAATATTTTTATTCTCATAATAATTTTTTTTTTTAATCCTCACCTGAGGACATTTCTGCACTTTCTATTCAGAGAGAGCAGGAGGGAGAGAGAGGAAGAGAGAGAGAGAAAAACATCAACGTGAAAGGGTCACATCGAGTGGCTGCCACCTGCACGACCCAACCAGGGCCGGGGACAAACCGCAACCGATGTACACGCCCTTAGCGGAAATCGAACCCAGGTCTCTCTGGACTGCAGGCTGACGCTCTAACCACTGAGCCAAACCGGCCAGGGCTAATTCTTTTAATGTATAACCTAAATAGCCAACCATGTGTTTGAGTGCAAAATTATTTAATTTAATTGGTTGTGTCTAATATTTTTTCTTATTCAAATACAATATAGTTTTGATGTCACATGTGTCCCAAGTGTGCTTTTGTGAGTGCCAGGAAGAAGCAAGTGTTTGTTCCAGTAGCTTGTAGTTAATATCAAAGAATATTTAAAATAGTTAAATTTAGATGTTCTTTAAATTGATGGGAAAAAAAAGGAAGTCCTATGCTCATATAATAATTGTATTTAATGAACTGTGAGAGAGTAAACAAGTGTCCCATATCTTACCAGATACTGTTCATACAAGGGAGTGTTGGCTATTTTCCTGGTGCCTTGACCAGTACTACAACAATTATCTCTGAGATCCTTTCAGAATGGATACTTTTGAAGTTAATCCAGACAGACTGCTGTACAGATTTAGGACCCCACTAACAGGAGGTTGCCTTCTTATGTGAGGTTATAGATATCTGGTGTAAAGTCTGACATCCTGAGATTTAAGTTATGAATCTCAATGAGTCACAGACTCTCAAATTCATTTTTTTCTTTGAATAGAGAATCCAAAATGGTCAGGTTTTTTGTTTGTTTTTTAATAGTCATAGGTTTTATCATACATTTATGGATAAAGTGAGAAGGACATCTCACAGCTCATCTTCTGACTTAACGAAACCTCATAGGTACTTTCCAGGAAATAGAGTTGATGATTTATATAGCATGAAGGCAAACAATCAGTGCTGTGGAATTTTGAGGTGATAGGAAGAGTGCTGAGGCGTTCTGATGCGCACCAGGGTATTCTGGTTTGTACCTTTTGCCCGGCATAACTATTAACAGTGTCCTGTTCTCTGTCAGAAATATCCCAGTGTATAAATTATTACACGGTTACCTTGGTTATAGGTTACATTTTAAGTGCTTGACAATAATCTTTGAGGTGCAGGTATCTTAAAAAAGACCCTGTTGTTAAACAGAAAACAGAATAGGATGGATCATACATTTCCCACCTCTCCAAACTCAGCAGAGGGTAGGAACATCAACTCTTTTGTGAATACTCTCAATTTACTTTATTAGGACAAGCTTCTAACCAAGAATTTTGTGTACTTTCACAGCTGTAGAGTAAGAAGGAACATTCTCTTTTTATCTTTCTGAAATTCTTTTTATCAGCAGCATTGAGAGCCTGAGGCACTTAAAACTGACTACATGGAAAAGAAAAGGCAAGGGAATTCCTAACGATGCAACAAGACATGTGATGTTTTGATCCTACATTGTGATCCCTTTTAAATTCAGAAACTTCAAGTTTTGTCTAATGGAATGTAATCCATTGAAATCTATCATTTTTGTCCAAGAGAAGGTTAAATTGTTGGAAACTAACTTTGCAGTAAAAACTTTAACATTTAGACTGAACTAAGATTGTTCCAACTGGGAGATCATTCTTTTTCACTGGACAGCAGGAATGACAGACAAGAACATCATTCTTTCCTGACCCAGAAGTCAGTATTTTAAATATGTGCACGTTACCATTTTTACTCTAATGGCTCAACCTCTCCAATTGAATTTGTGTTTGTTGTAACCTTTTTTTTTCTTTATTGATTTTAGAGAATAAGGGAGAGGGAGAGAGAGATAGAAACTTTGATGAGAGAGAACATCAGTTGGCCCCCTCCTGCATGCCCCCACTGGGGACCTGGCCTACAATGTGGGCATGTGCCCTGACTAGGAATTGAACTGGTGGCCTCTGGGTGTATGGGTCGATGCTCAACCACTGAGACATACCAGCTGGGCTGTTTTAATCTTTAAATTTGAAATCTTTAAAAATTATTCCATATACTTAGGTAGCTTTTATAGTTTAAGATACTTTGGACATGAGGTGTCTTCACTAGTAATATGTTGATAACAATAGATTTAAAAATATTTATGTGAATGTTTTTTTTAAAGACTTTATTAAATTTGTTGGGGTAACATTGGTTAATAACATTATATAGGTTTCAGGTACCAACTTTATATTACGACATCTTTATACTCTATTGTGTGAATGTTTTCAATGCTATATAGACAACATGATTTTATTTTGAAAAAAAAAATCAGTCTCCCAAAATTCCAACTAGTAAGACCAACATAGTCTCAATTTAGGCACTCAATTTTTGTTTGGTCAATTTATGCTTCCTATATTTTAAAGCTATGCTGTTACGTGTGTGGACACTTAAGATTATTCTTGATGAATTGTTCATTTTATCTCTGATAATCTTTATCTTAAAGTCTATTTGTTCAATAGCTCCAACAGCTTTCTTGTGATTAATGTTTGTATATTATGTATTTTTTCACTCTTTATTTTCAACACGTCTGTGCCCATTTATGTCAAATTTGTGTATAAACATAATTTATGGTCATATTTTGTTATTTGATCTTACAGTCTTTTGTCTTTTAATTGGAGTGTTGTAACCCAGGAGATCGACCAAACTCAGACGCCGAGATGGGGTTTAACAAAAGGAGTTTATTGAGCTAAGTCCGCAGGCCTGCAGTGTGTCCCACACAGGAGTAACTGCGGCGGCGGAGAGCTAAAATGGCTCCTTTTTATAGGATTTTGTGAGGGGGGTTGCTACGTGTAAGCAAGCATGTTACAGAAGCGGAATTTAGCAGTTAGTTAATTACCTGTTACTCAGTTTCCCAGACATCTCAAAGGTCAAGATGTTTTCAATAGATCATCCCTGGCGCCGACCCCAGGATTCCTCAAGGGTTAGTGTTTACTTAGGGATTAGCTAGTGAAGAATGTTCTTCAGTAAATGAGTAAACTGACAACCCCTTTGGTTGTCATGACAGCCTCTGGGAGTTTGGGTCAATGGCACTGAGTTATAACATTCCCCACTTCTTCTGGTGAATTAATCAAATCCTTGATTTATATTAGTCATGGATTAGGGGTAAGCGTTGGTAATATTGCTGTTGGGCTAGTACCATAGGCTTAATTGATTGGACCCGCTCCTTGACAAATGCAGTGATTCTGTTAAGGATGATAGGTCCGCAGGCTAAGGCTATGAATAAGAGGAGGAGCGGACCCACTAGAGCTGTGAGGAGGGTGGTCAGCCAGGGAGACCAATTGAACATACTCTCATACCATGAGGTAGAGGTATGTTCTTCTCTCTCTCTATCTCGTAATCGCTTTTGCAGCTCTTGCATAGATTGTCTGATGATACCTGAGTGGTTAGCATAGAAACAACAGGTCTCTCCTAGGGCAGCACAGAGGCCTCCCTGTTTGAGGAAGAGCAGATCTAGACCTCTGCGATTTTGGAGGGCCACTTCGGCTAGGGAGTCAACCTGTTTTTCAAGGTATTTGACTTGGGTCTGGAGTAATTCAACATCGCGGGAAAACGTGGCTGACAGCTCACGAAGGGCAAGGTCATTCTTAATGAGGGCTGCCGCCCCTAGGGCAGTGGAGCCGGCAATACCCAGGGTAACCAGTACAGGGATCAGAATGGGAACACGTTTCTGGAGTCTAGTATGATAGTCTGAGGCTAGAAAATGGGCTGCACCTGTGGGCCCTGCATATAGGTATACCTGGGGAACTATATAGATAACAACACAAAGATCTGAATGGTTCCCGGGGCTAATGCAACGGTGGATACCTGATAAGCATGCAAACCAAGTCCCGCTAGGTGCAATCAGAGTCCATGGGGTTGAGCCTTCGGCTCGCAGAGAGGTGTTGGTCAGGCAGTTGTCCTTGTATGGCGAAGTTTGGAGGTTGAGGTTTCCAAGGATGAAGCAGGTCCCCTGTCCTTGAAGATCTCCTAGGGTGAGCTTGCCGGCTCGGGCACAGTTGGCAAGGGTTCCTTCCCCAGGTGAGTCGGAGTCACTAAAAGTTTGGTTCATGGGGGCTAGAGTACCCGTGGCATTTGCCCCAATACCAACATAGTAGGGTGGTGCTGGATCTACACA